AGAGGGAGCTGTCTGCAGAGGAGAGGTATACACACACATATATATACATATACACACACATATGGACTAACACACATGTGCACATACACACACTCAGTCAGGCTCAGGGGCTGACTCTGACCCGGGATTCTCCAGAGAAACCTTCATGACCAATGTTTAGTCACAAGTAGAACTGTGAAATTATACATCTGTACAATTGAGTTTTCTGTGTGTGTGTGTGTGTGTGTGTGTGTGTGTGTGTGTGTGTGTGTGTGTGTGTGTGTGTGTGTGTGTGTGTGTGTGTGTGTGTGTGTGTGTGTGTGTGTGTGTGTGTGTGTGTGTGTGTGTGTGTGTGTGTGTGTGTGTGTGTGTGTGTGTGTGTGTGTGTGTGTGTGTGTGTGTTGTGTGTGTGTGTGTGTGTGTGTGTGTGTGTGTGTGTGTGTGTGCATGTGTCTGTGTGTGTGTGTGTGCGTGTGTGTGTGTGTGTGTGTGTCTGTGCGTGTCTGTGTGTGTGTGTATGTGTCTGTGTGTGTGTTTGTGTGCGTGTGCGTGCGTGCGTGTGTGTGTGTGTCTGTGTGTGTGTGCGTGTGCGCATGTGTATCTGTGTGTGTGTGTGTGCGTGTGCGTGTGCGTGTGTGTCTGTGTGTGTGTTTAAGTGTTTTTTTCTCTGGGAAACTGTCGCATGCCGCCCTGAGCATGACAAATGCATGTTTGAGGCTCTTTCATGCACAGCGTACAACACGACCCTCTCTCCTCACCTACACTGGGGAGATTAAGATCCAGATTCAGAGATTCTTTTTTAGTCCCACAGTGGGGGAATTTCAGTGTTGCATCACACGTTATAGAAATATAGGGTGACGAAGGCAGAAGGGCAGAGAGGACAGTGTCCTTGGATGGGGACAGTCACTGTTTAAAACAGATCGAACAAACATTCTTCTGAAACCATTTGTTAATCTTTAAACTCACTGTTTAAACCCTGCTTTAGTCTTTTTTACGTTAACTGTTGGACACAAACCAGACACTGTCATCATCAGGACAGTCATCGACACGAGAATATACCATTATACTTAAAGTGCTCGTGCAGTAAGTGCCAAAAAACCAAAAAACATGAGAGATTGTAGTTAAAACAGTATAAGTCCAAAGTGCTAGTGCGGTGCAGGTGAAAAGAGAACATTGCACTTGTCCATACAAAGTGCTACTGCAGTTGGAAAGTATTGCACACAGTAAAGTACCTTTGCTCTTGTGTGGCACTGACTCTCACCGTAGAGCACGTCTCTGCTGTAGATATTCTGTCTTTGAAAGTTTACTCTCTACCGCCCCCAGTGGCTCGAGTCAGGACCTACATGTCTGAGAGAACACAGACCTGCTCTCACCTGGAGTCTGAAAGAGCCTTCTGCGATTACACATCCTCCGTCTGCTACGTAGAGCGGCCCACAGAGCTGCTCCCACAGAGCTGCCCCACAGAGCTGCCCCACAGAGCTGCCCCACAGAGCTGTCCCACAGAGCTGCTCCCACAGAGCTGCCCCACAGAGCTGCCCCACAGAGCTGCCCCACAGAGCTGTCCCACAGAGCTGCCCCACAGAGCTGTCCACAGAGCTGCTCCACAGAGCTGCTCCACAGAGCTGTCCCCACAGAGCTGCTCCACAGAGCTGCCCCACAGAGCTGTCCCCACAGAGCTGCTCCCACAGAGCTGCCCCACAGAGCTGCCCCACAGAGCTGCCCTACAGAGCTGTCCACAGAGCTGCTCCACAGAGCTGCTCCACAGAGCTGTCCCCACAGAGCTGCCCCACAGAGCTGTCCACAGAGCTGCTCCACAGAGCTGCCCCACAGAGCTGTCCCCACAGAGCTGCTCCCACAGAGCTGCCCCACAGAGCTGCCCCACAGAGCTGCCCTACAGAGCTGTCCACAGAGCTGCTCCCACAGAGCTGCTCCCACAGAGCTGTCCACAGAGCTGCTCCCACAGAGCTGCCCCACAGAGCTGCTCCACAGAGCTGTCCCCACAGAGCTGCTCCCACAGAGCTGCTCCCACAGAGCTGTCCACAGAGCTGTCCACAGAGCTGTCCCCACAGAGCTGTCCACAGAGCTGCTCCCACAGAGCTGCCCCACAGAGCTGCTCCACAGAGCTGTCCCCACAGAGCTGTCCCCACAGAGCTGCCCCACAGAGCTGCCCCACAGAGCTGTCCACAGAGCTGCTCCCACAGAGCTGCCCCACAGAGCTGCTCCACAGAGCTGTCCCCACAGAGCTGTCCACAGAGCTGCTCCACAGAGCTGCTCCACAGAGCTGCCCCACAGAGCTGTCCACAGAGCTGCTCCACAGAGCTGCTCCACAGAGCTGCTCCACAGAGCTGCCCCACAGAGCTGCCCCACAGAGCTGTCCACAGAGCTGTCCACAGAGCTGCTCCCACAGAGCTGCTCCACAGAGCTGCTCCACAGAGCTGCTCCACAGAGCTGCCCCACAGAGCTGCTCCACAGTGCAGTCCCCACAGAGCTGCTCCACAGAGCTGCCCCACAGAGCTGTCCACAGAGCTGCTCCACAGAGCTGCTCCACAGAGCTGCTCCACAGAGCTGCTCCACAGAGCTGCCCCACAGAGCTGCCCCACAGAGCTGTCCACAGAGCTGTCCACAGAGCTGCTCCCACAGAGCTGCCCCACAGAGCTGCCCCACTACTGTAGTACACTAATACTGTAGTACACTAATACTGTAGTACAATACTACTGTAGTACACTAATACTGTAGTACAATACTACTGTAGTACACTAATACTGTAGTACAATACTACTGTAGTACACTACTACTGTAGTACACTGCTACTGTAGTACAATACTACTGCAGTACACTACTACTGTAGTACTGTAGTACACTAATACTGCAGTACACTGATACTGTAGTACTGTAGTACACTACTAAAACAGTGGAGACGGAGGATGTGGAATCGCTGCGTTAGACCCATTTCTCATTTAGTTAATAATTGTATTTTATTGGTCATTGTTTAAAAATTTTTCTGTCACTGTTTGAGTTTGGAAAAAAACATTATTTCTTTATTGTTTGAACATCCATCTTATGATTTACCATTTTATCTTTTTACGCTGCATGAATTATATCTATTTGATAAGAAGCAATAGCTGTGAACACTCAGTAAGAAACGGCACACCAGAGAGGACCAGAGAGGACCAGAGAGGACCAGAGAGGACCAGAGAGGACCAGAGAGGACCGGAGAGGACCGGAGAGGACCGGAGAGGACCGGAGAGGACCGGAGAGGACCGGAGAGGACCAGAGAGGACCGGAGAGGACCAGAGAGGACCAGAGAGGACCGGAGAGGACCGGAGAGGACCGGAGAGGACCGGAGAGGACCAGAGAGGACCAGAGAGGACCAGAGAGGACCAGAGAGGACCAGAGAGGACCAGAGAGGACCAGAGAGGACCGGAGAGGACCGGAGAGGACCAGAGAGGACACTGATGAGGAGAATGATAAAGCTTGTCCCACTGGGGTACCCTTACTTGTTGAGTGTTGTTTTGTGCCTGTGGAAACTCTTAATAAATGTATTGTGTTTTAACTTGCATTCCCCTGGAGGCAGGGCATTGTCAAGTAAGTATGGACTTTAGCTGTTAGCTTTAGCATCAAGTTAACGCACAGTGAGGAGAGGTGCTGTGGACTTTAGCTGTTAGCTTTAGCATAGAGCTAACGCACAGTGAGGAGAGGTGCTGTTGACTTTAGCTGTTAGCTTTAGCATAGAGCTAACGCACAGTGAGGAGAGGTGCTGTGGACTTTAGCTGTTAGCTTTAGCATTGAGCTAACGCACAGCGAGGAGATTAGAATCTTTGGAACTCCAGGGTGTTAGACGCAACAGTGCAAGGCAGCCAAGGAGATGTACGAACTAAAACATGTTCAAAGGAACTTAAAGCTGGGGTCCCTGACTTTCAAACCACTGAAATAGGCCTGTGTAATAAAATCCATGTCCAGTTCTTTTTGTTTACCACGATCTTTTTATTTCTTATTTAAAAGTACACTGTGTACTTTTTACTCCCGTCCAGCTCCGAGATCATATATTATAATCTACGGTAGCTTCTCAGGACAATATCATAGACTGTGTATATTTACGGCCTATCTCTGCCGTTCTAAATAATGGGCCAAAAATTGGGCTCTCATGGAGTGATTCAAAATGGCCGCAGGGGCTGGAAAATGTGAAAAAATGCATCTGCGCATGCGTCAGCTGCACGAGCCCCATTCAGTTAAACGAGAGACTTCAAAAATTCTGGCGACAGTAGCTCAGTTGGTAGAGCATTGGCCTTAAGGCCAGAAGGTCATGGGTTCAATTCCCACCTCTGCACCTTCTCCATCGACTCCCACTGATGACTGCTGTCGTTGTGTCCTTGGGCAAGACACTTAACCCCACTTTGCCCAAAGCCCCCACTGAAAGATCAAGGCTATGCTCACAGTCAGAGAGCAGCCGTCCTCCTGTGGACTCACCACCTGCAGAGGGTCAGTGAGGGGCTGGTGCTATGAGACTTGGGTGGCATCTCTGACTGCCACCCCCCTGACCCAGAAATGGATTAAAGGGTAGAAAATGGATGGATGGATGGACTTCAAAAATTCTCAGCGAGTAAACTAGACTGGTCCAAAAAAATTCAGCGTGGGCTCCTGAGGTCCGGGTTTAAAAAGGTTGGGGACCCCTGATATAAACATCTGTAACATTTAAATCAGTGCAATATGGACAGAACAGATCATATAGACAAAGTTACATTCAGGAGGAGAGAGGAGGAAGAGGAGAGAGGAGGAAGAGGAGAGAGGAGGAAGAGGAGAGAGGAGCTGTGAGTGGAGGAAGAGGAGAGAAGAGGAAGAGGAGAGAGGAGCTGTGAGTGGAGGAAGAGTAGACTAATGAAGAGGAGAAGGAGGAAGAGGAGAGAGGAGGAAGAGGAGAGAGGAGGAGGAAGACGAGAGAGGAGGAGGAAGAGGAGAGAGGAGCTGTGAGCTGAGGAAGAGGAAGAGGAGAGAGGAGCTGTGAGTGGAGGAAGAGTAGACTAATGAAGAGGAGAAGGAGGAAGAGGAGAGAGGAGCTGTGAGTGGAGGAAGAGTAGACTAATGAAGAGGAGAAGGAGGAAGAGGAGAGAGGAGGAAGAGGAGAGAGGAGGAAGACGAGAGAGGAGGAGGAAGAGGAGAGAGGAGCTGTGAGTGGAGGAAGAGGAGAGAGGAGCTGTGAGTGGAGGAAGAGTAGACTAATGAAGAGGAGAAGGAGGAAGAGGAGAGAGGAGGAAGAGGAGAGAGGAGGAAGAGGAGAGAGGAGGAGGAAGAGGAGAGAGGAGCTGTGAGTGGAGGAAGAGGAGAGAAGAGGAAGAGGAGAGAGGAGCTGTGAGTGGAGGAAGAGTAGACTAATGAAGAGGAGAAGGAGGAAGAGGAGAGAGGAGGAAGAGGAGAGAGGAGGAGGAAGACGAGAGAGGAGGAGGAAGAGGAGAGAGGAGCTGTGAGCTGAGGAAGAGGAAGAGGAGAGAGGAGCTGTGAGTGGAGGAAGAGTAGACTAATGAAGAGGAGAAGGAGGAAGAGGAGAGAGGAGCTGTGAGTGGAGGAAGAGTAGACTAATGAAGAGGAGAAGGAGGAAGAGGAGAGAGGAGGAAGAGGAGAGAGGAGGAAGACGAGAGAGGAGGAGGAAGAGGAGAGAGGAGCTGTGAGTGGAGGAAGAGGAGAGAGGAGCTGTGAGTGGAGGAAGAGTAGACTAATGAAGAGGAGAAGGAGGAAGAGGAGAGAGGAGGAAGAGGAGAGAGGAGGAGGAAGAGGAGAGAGGAGCTGTGAGTGGAGGAAGAGGAGAGAAGAGGAAGAGGAGAGAGGAGCTGTGAGTGGAGGAAGAGTAGACTAATGAAGAGGAGAAGGAGGAAGAGGAGAGAGGGAGGAGGAAGACGAGAGAGGAGGAGGAAGAGGAGAGAGGAGCTGTGAGTGGAGGAAGAGGAAGAGGAGAGAGGAGCTGTGAGTGGAGGAAGAGTAGACTAATGAAGAGGAGAAGGAGGAAGAGGAGAGAGGAGCTGTGAGTGGAGGAAGAGTAGACTAATGAAGAGGAGAAGGAGGAAGAGGAGAGAGGAGGAAGAGGAGAGAGGAGGAAGACGAGAGAGGAGGAGGAAGAGGAGAGAGGAGCTGTGAGTGGAGGAAGAGGAGAGAGGAGCTGTGAGTGGAGGAAGAGTAGACTAATGAAGAGGAGAAGGAGGAAGAGGAGAGAGGAGGAAGAGGAGAGAGGAGGAGGAAGAGGAGAGAGGAGCTGTGAGTGGAGGAAGAGGAGAGAAGAGGAAGAGGAGAGAGGAGCTGTGAGTGGAGGAAGAGTAGACTAATGAAGAGGAGAAGGAGGAAGAGGAGAGAGGAGGAAGAGGAGAGAGGAGGAGGAAGACGAGAGAGGAGGAGGAAGAGGAGAGAGGAGCTGTGAGTGGAGGAAGAGGAAGAGGAGAGAGGAGCTGTGAGTGGAGGAAGAGTAGACTAATGAAGAGGAGAAGGAGGAAGAGGAGAGAGGAGCTGTGAGTGGAGGAAGAGTAGACTAATGAAGAGGAGAAGGAGGAAGAGGAGAGAGGAGGAAGAGGAGAGAGGAGGAAGACGAGAGAGGAGGAGGAAGAGGAGAGAGGAGCTGTGAGTGGAGGAAGAGGAGAGAGGAGCTGTGAGTGGAGGAAGAGTAGACTAATGAAGAGGAGAAGGAGGAAGAGGAGAGAGGAGGAAGAGGAGCTGTGAGTGGACGAAGAGGAGAGAAGAGGAAGAGGAGAAGGAGGAGACTGATGAGGAGGAGGAGGAGGAGACTGATGAGGAGGAGGAGGAGGAGACTGATGAGGAGGAGGAGGAGGAGACTGATGAGGAGGAGGAGGATGATAAGGAAGAAGAGAAGGAGGAGGCTGATGAGGAGGAGGAGGAGGAGGAGACTGATGAGGAGGAGGAGGAGGAGACTGATGAGGAGGAGGAGGAGGAGACTGATGAGGAGGAGGAGGATGATAAGGAAGAAGAGAAGGAGGAGGCTGATGAGGAGGAGGAGGAGGAGACTGATGAGGAGGAGAAGGAGGAGACTGATGAGGAGGAGAAGGAGGAGACTGATGAGGAGGAGAAGGAGGAGACTGATGAGGAGGAGAAGGAGGAGACTGATGAGGAGGAGGAGGATGATAAGGAAGAAGAGAAGGAGGAGGCTGATGAGGAGGAGGAGACTGATGAGGAGGAGGAGGAGGAGACTGATGAGGAGGAGAAGGAGGAGACTGATGAGGAGGAGAAGGAGGAGACTGATGAGGAGGAGAAGGAGGAGACTGATGAGGAGGAGGAGGATGATAAGGAAGAAGAGAAGGAGGAGGCTGATGGGGGCGGAGCCTGTGCATGTGTGCCTGACTCTGAGTTAGCATGAAGCCTTGGCTTCACTTCTAAAGGGTTGTGTGTCGTTCTTTATGTTGTGTGTGTGTGTGTGTGTGTGTGTGTGTGTGTGTGTGTGTGTGTGTGTGTGTGTGTGTGTGTGTGTGTGTGAGAGAGAGGCGTGAATGGAGACACAACAGTAATATTCTAAACCCCAGATTTATTTGTATTTTGCAGCTGTTAGTATTTTACTCTAATTTGTGTTTTGTTTTAGGTGAGAGAGTTTAAAGACTGTGACAGTGGTTAGCTAGCTCACTGTTAGTGTCAGTACTTACTCATTCCTAAAACTCTTAAAATATTAATAAGTATTCCATTCCATTCCATTTTCTTCCGCTTCATCCGTTGCTGTGTTGCGGGGGCAGCAGTCTAAGCTGAGACGCCCAGACTTCTCTATCCACACACACTTCCTCCGGCTCGTCCAGGGGGACTCCCAGGCGTTCCCAGGCCAGCTGAGAGACATAGTCCCTCCAGCGCCCTGTGAGCTAAGGCCCGGCAACCAGGCACTCGCTTTTGAGCCCCAACCCCAGGCCTGGCTCCAGGGTGGGGCCCCGGCTGCGCTATACCGGACAACATCACGGTTGGCGTATTCGTGCTGTGGCTTCGGACTGTGCTTTGTCTGACTCGTCACCCGAGACCTGTGAACCATGAGAGACCTGTGAACCATGGGAGACCTGTGAACCATGGGAGACCTGTGAACCATGGGAGACCTGTGAACCATGGGAGACCTGTGAACCATGGGAGACCTGTGAACCATGGGAGACCTGTGAACCATGAGAGACCTGTGAACCATGGGAGACCTGTGAACCATGGGAGACCTGTGAACCATGGGAGACCTGTGAACCATGGGAGACCTGTGAACCATGGGAGACCTGTGAACCATGGGAGACCTGTGAACCATGGGAGACCTGTGAACCATGGGAGACCCTACCAGGGGCATGAAGCCCCAGACAGCATAGCTCCCAGGATCATCCGAGTACTAACAGCTGTCAGAACACAGGTGTCAGAACACAGGTGTCAGAACACAGCTGTCAGAACACAGCTGTCAGAACACAGGTGTCAGAACACAGGTGTCAGACCACAGCTGTCAGAACACAGCTGTCAGAACACAGGTGTCAGAACACAGCTGTCAGAACACAGCTGTCAGAACACAGCTGTCAGAACACAGCTGTCAGAACACAGGTGTCAGAACACAGCTGTCAGGACACAGGTGTCAGAACACAGGTGTCAGAACACAGCTGTCAGAACACAGGTGTCAGAACACAGGTGTCAGAACACAGCTGTCAGGACACAGGTGTCAGAACACAGGTGTCAGAACACAGGTATCAGAACACAGGTGTCAGAACACAGGTGTCAGAACACAGGTGTCAGAACACAGGTGTCAGAACAGAGGTGTCAGAACACAGCTGTCAGGACACAGGTGTCAACACAGGTGTCAGAACACAGCTGTCAGGACACAGGTGTCAGAACACAGGTGTCAGAACACAGGTGTCAGAACACAGCTGTCAGAACACAGCTGTCAGAACACAGGTGTCAGAACACAGCTGTCAGAACACAGCTGTCAGGACACAGGTGTCAGAACACAGGTGTCAGAACACAGGTGTCAGAACAGAGGTGTCAGAACACAGGTGTCAGAACACAGCTGTCAGAACACAGCTGTCAGAACACAGCTGTAAGAACACAGCTGTCAGGACACAGGTGTCAGAACACAGGTGTCAGAACACAGCGGTCAGAACACAGCTGTCAGAACACAGGTGTCAGAACACAGCTGTCAGAACACAGGTGTCAGAACACAGGTGTCAGAACACAGCTGTCAGGACACAGGTGTCAGGACACAGGTGTCAGGACACAGCTGTCAGAACACAGGTGTCAGAACACAGGTGTCAGAACACAGGTGTCAGAACACAGCTGTCAGAACACAGGTGTCAGAACACAGGTGTCAGAACACAGGTGTCAGAACACAGCTGTCAGGACACAGGTGTCAGAACACAGGTGTCAGAACACAGGTGTCAGAACACAGGTGTCAGAACACAGCTGTCAGGACACAGGTGTCAACACAGGTGTCAGAACACAGCTGTCAGGACACAGGTGTCAGAACACAGGTGTCAGAACACAGGTGTCAGAACACAGCTGTCAGAACACAGCTGTCAGAACACAGGTGTCAGAACACAGGTGTCAGAACACAGCTGTCAGAACACAGCTGTCAGGACACAGGTGTCAGAACACAGGTGTCAGAACACAGGTGTCAGAACACAGGTGTCAGAACAGAGGTGTCAGAACACAGGTGTCAGAACACAGCTGTCAGAACACAGCTGTCAGAACACAGCTGTCAGAACACAGGTGTCAGAACACAGGTGTCAGAACACAGGTGTCAGAACACAGCTGTCAGAACACAGGTGTCAGAACACAGCTGTCAGAACACAGCTGTCAGAACACAGGTGTCAGAACACAGGTGTCAGAACACAGCTGTCAGGACACAGGTGTCAGAACACAGGTGTCAGAACACAGGTGTCAGAACACAGGTGTCAGAACACAGCTGTCAGAACACAGGTGTCAGAACACAGGTGTCAGAACACAGCTGTCAGGACACAGGTGTCAGAACACAGGTGTCAGAACACAGCTGTCAGAACACAGCTGTCAGAACACAGGTGTCAGAACACAGCTGTCAGAACACAGCTGTCAGGACACAGGTGTCAGAACACAGGTGTCAGAACACAGGTGTCAGAACACAGCTGTCAGAACACAGGTGTCAGAACACAGCTGTCAGGATGTCAGTACACAGGTGTCAGAACACAGGTGTCAGAACACAGCTGTCAGGACACAAGTGTCAGAACACAGGTGTCAGAACACAGGTGTCAGAACACAGCTGTCAGGACACAGGTGTCAGAACACAGGTGTCAGAACACAGGTGTCAGAACACAGCTGTCAGAACACAGCTGTCAAAACACAGGTGTCAGAACACAGGTGTCAGAACACAGCTGTCAGAACACAGCTGTCAGGACACAGGTGTCAGAACACAGGTGTCAGAACACAGGTGTCAGAACACAGGTGTCAGAACACAGGTGTCAGAACAGAGGTGTCAGAACACAGGTGTCAGAACACAGGTGTCAGAACACAGCTGTCAGAACACAGCTGTCAGAACACAGGTGTCAGAACACAGGTGTCAGAACACAGGTGTCAGAACACAGCTGTCAGAACACAGCTGTCAGAACACAGGTGTCAGAACACAGCTGTCAGAACACAGCTGTCAGAACACAGGTGTTAGAACACAGGTGTCAGGACACAGCTGTCAGGACACAGGTGTCAGAACACAGGTGTCAGAACACAGCTGTCAGAACACAGGTGTCAGAACACAGGTGTCAGAACACAGCTGTCAGGACACAGGTGTCAGAACACAGCTGTCAGAACACAGCTGTCAGAACACAGCTGTCAGAACACAGCTGTCAGAACACAGCTGTCAGGACACAGGTGTCAGAACACAGGTGTCAGAACAGAGGTGTCAGAACAGAGGTGTCAGAACACAGGTGTCAGAACACAGCTGTCAGGACACAGGTGTCAGAACACAGGTGTCAGAACACAGCTGTCAGGACACAAGTGTCAGAACACAGGTGTCAGAACACAGGTGTCAGAACACAGCTGTCAGAACACAGGTGTCAGAACACAGGTGTCAGAACACAGCTGTCAGAACACAGCTGTCAGAACACAGCTGTCAGAACACAGCTGTCAGGACACAGGTGTCAGAACACAGCTGTCAGAACACAGGTGTCAGAACACAGGTGTCAGAACACAGGTGTCAGAACACAGGTGTCAGAACACAGGTGTCAGAACACAGGTGTTCCAAAACTTAATTGACACTGAAATAAGTAGGAAAAAAGTGAGAAACCTTAGGGAGGCCATAATCAGAGGCTTCCGCTGCCATGGACGGAAAGGCTGTAGACCCAGGACTGAGGCTGTAGACCCAGGACTGAGGCTGTAGACCCAGGACTGAGGCTGTAGACCCAGGACTGAGGCTGTAGACCCAGGACTGAGGCTGTAGACCCAGGACTGAGGCTGTAGACCCAGGACTGAGGCTGTAGACCTAGGACTGAAGAGGCTCCCTGGCGGCCCACACGTCTGGACCGGAGCGGACCTATCCACAGGTGCAGATTAAAGAGGCCATATTCTAGGGTCCCGACATCACACCATGAAACAGACAACAGCAGGTGAATGTTTTAATACAGAATGAACTATTCCCTTTTGTTCTGCTTCAAATTATTACTGCTATAAATGTTAGTCTGTGGTCTTTTTTTGGGTGTTCAACTGAAAGATTTAGGACCGATTTAGTACCTCAAAGATTGAACAGAACTGCTAACACAACAGTGAGCTAGCCCATCATTTGTTTCTGTTTAGGCACAAGCCTTTTTCCCACACGCGTTGCTCTTCCTCCGTATCTAAGCTGCTGTACCTGTGTGAGTTGTGAGGTCTGTCTTTCTAAAACCTTTCACTTGGTTCTGTCCCTTTGCTCTCCAGGGGATCCAGGTAACTCTGTCCACCTGTCCGCTGTCCCTCCATGCTACTGTCTCTGTGTAGCATTAGCCACTATAGCACATTAGCATCAGACCTTACCTAAATCTATGCCTAGGATTTGGAAATCTCGTTTTAACAGACTCATTATCTCCATGAATAAAAGACGCTCCATTCACTCTAAGTTTACATTCTGATCTCCCTCATTGCCGGTCGTTATGACGATTAAAAAAAAGGATGGTTGAATTGTTCATGCAACGTTGTTGTGTCATTGGTGCCTCCACCCGTCTGTCTGTTTGTCCATCATGATTCTACAATTGAAATAATCTGAAATAAAACACAACTGTTGGTTTTGTAGGCCTCCTGTGAGTCGAGCGACGCCGCAGCCCGAGAAGCTGCAGAAGAACAATGTGTCCAAGAAGAAAAGAGTTGTAGAGGTGAGTTAGTATGAAGCCCTGGGTCCTCCAAGATGTCTGCCCCTGGTCTTTCCAAGATGTCTGCCCCTGGTCTTTCCAAGATGTCTGCCCCTGGTCTCTCCAAGATGTCTGCCCCGGTCTTTCCAAGATGTCTGCCCCTGGTCTTTCCAAGATGTCTGCCCCTGGTCTCTCCAAGATGTCTG